TTAGTGATTAAGTTTTCCTTTTCAATTATGTCAGATTTACCTCTGTGGAATGGCAAATATCTCTTAGAATGATAACATTTGTCAAATGAAACAATACAGTGATTTAGCAATCATTCAGAACATCCATTGGGCACCATGGGAAAGGTAATCAAATAGAAATTGATCATGCCTTATATTTGCATAATGCTTAGACTTTATAGAACACACCTGTGCCCTTTTTACTTGACCCTAAATATAGGTTTGTGAAGTTAAGAGAACCGTGTTTTATAGGAGAGAAGACAGTGGGTGAACCATTTGCCCTAAGTCAAAGTCGTAGTAAATGGTGAAGGTAGATGCATGGTTCCTGAAGCTCCCATGAGACAAAATATAGACTTTGTGTTCATCTTGAGGAATGATATATAGTATGAGTGAATCTGAAATGAGAAAGTTAAAAGGTTATTGGTTTACATTTATAAGACTTAAAAAAATATACTGTAATATCACAAGTAGCTTTAATACTGGTCAGCACACGTTGCAATGAAAGCTGTCACTAATTCCCTTAGTGGTGATAATGGAAACTAAATGTATTCGAGATTTACTTATATCAATATATCTAGACAAGCTGACTTAGTGATTGAGCAGTGTTATGTAGCTAGCAGTATTGTGTTCAGAATAAATGCTTTGTCAAGAAGAATGTTGCCTACAGAGATAATAAGCCATTAGAAAAACTCTTTTCCAATTAATCTAATGCCTGCGCTTCATTGAGAAACAGATAAAGAAATGCCTTAGCAGCAGGAAGATTGATGATCACCATAAGGGACCTTGGGATCAAGAATCAAACAAGATCAATTTGTTGATAAGGCTGGGTGACATGGATGGGGTAGGGTGCAGACACATCCTGAGACCATAGTTTATCTTTTATTGTGCTATCAATAGAGTGATGACAATCAACTTAGTCACAAAAGTGGGCACTTTCCTTTCCTTGCTTTTCTTTTATATCCAACCATCCAGCTTGTTTTAATGAACTTTTCTCAGAATTGTCAGCATGTATAAAAGTGATTGAATTAGCTGCTCACAAAGAGATTTTTTAAAGAAGCAAAGCATGAAAAATAATCTTTCTTGCCCCAGCCAAGTGACTCAGTTGTACACCAAAAAGGTTGTAGGTTCAATTCCCTTCTGGGCACATACCTACGTTGTGGATTCCATTCCAGGTCAGGGCATGTGCAGGAGGCAACCAATCAATGTTTCTCACCTCGATGTTTCTCTCTCTCTCTCTCTCTCTCTCTCTCTCTCTCTCATCCATTTACTCTCTTTCTCTCTCAAATCAATACACATATCCTCAGGTAAAGATTTTAAAAACCCACACGCTTTTAAAAAATATATTTTTATTGATTTCAGAGAGGAAGGGAGAGGGGAAAAAAGATAGAAACATCAATGATGAGAGAAAATCACTGCCTCCTGCATGCCCTCTACTGGGGATTGAGCCCACAACTAGGCATGTGCCCTTGACTGGAATTGAACTCAGGACCCTTCAATCCACAGGCCAACGCTCTATCTGCTGAGCCAAAACAGCCAAGGCCCACACTCTTTCTTAAAAGCAATTTTCAACTGGTGTGCCAGCAAGAATTTTTAAAACATGCAATACCTGAATATTTAGTCAGGGGCACTGACCTCTTGTCCCTTAGAATGTCAAATTAAAAAATGACAACTGCCAACATGACAACAGCTGTCTGGTGTAAAAGAATCAAAATTATACCTATTTTTTGTCATATTGGCAGAAACTAGATTTTTTTGGTGTGCTGCAGAATTTTAATAATTAGTTTATGTGTGCCATGAGATGAAGAAAGTTGAAAATCACTATTTATTAACATAGGTAGTATGGTACAAACCATCAAAGAGCCTCAAAGTCACAAAGAACTATTGGGGGACAGATCCAAATAGAAAAGGTGAGGTGCTGCTGGTTCTTGCCTACTGTTGATTTCCTCTCTGGCCTACGTTCTAGTCAAGACTCGAGGCCCTGAAAAGCACCTTTATTTGTAGGAGATTCAAGATATGTGAGAAGAAGATGTCTGGTGATCTAACATAAAACATTGACCAGAGGAAAGACTGGCTTACGTTCTACAACACAGTTAAATTAATAAGAGGCAAATGTGCATCATTTAGACTAATTGCCCTGACCATTTCTTTTATTTCTACTTACTTGGGACAACTTCAAAAATAAGAAGCTGAGCTCCAAAGATTTTTAAATCTTGGAGAGTTATTCTTGTATAGACAATTCTTGAATTCCAAGCAGTGCATTTTAAGAGGTAATGTCAAGGTTGATGTTTTGAATTTGAGGTTATTTATATGTTTACTTTTCTGAAAAATCTCTTTTCCTGATTTACATGGCACAATTCTGATTCTTTCCTATGCCCCTGACTACTACTCCTAGTTATGTTCACCTGTTCCTTATCAGAACCCACCTCGGTATACTTCCCTGTACTTATATCCTTGATAACTCTTCTCTTTTCACCCTAAATTCTCTGTCTTGGGGATTCAGCTTTATTTCAGGAGTTGAACTATTATTCATATTCTATAAAAATTCTATATGAAAAGAAGAATCCTTACACTAGCAATCCCCAGTTATAAGGGTAACTGGAAATGAAGTATCCTTCTCTATGGTATTCTACAATATGGAAATTCTAGTCACTTTTATTTACATTTGTCCAAAAAATATTTTACTTACCCTTTGTTTGACTCTTCTGTAAATTGGTTCAGAGAGGATGGAGAACCTCAGAACTCTTTTCATCATTATGGATGACCTCCCAACATCTACTATACAAAGTTACTCTCAGAGGTATACCATAACCACATGGTAATGGCCATTTTGGTCTTTATTTAGGTGAAAATAGGTTATAATTTTTTTAAATTTAGAATCCACTTTACCTTTTTATCACTGAAACAAAAGATTTAACACACTTAAAGTACTAAAATTTATAAAATATTTACAAATATGTAAAAATAAAAATGTATAAAAAAGAAGCTCACAGATACAAGTAAATTTATGAATAGATTAAAATTTTAAAGCAGAAGTAACTGATAAATGCCAGTACTCAGACATGGGCTGAAGATGAACAGAAAAAAAAAATCACTATTCAGGCTTCTAGGTTTCTGGGGGGGGGGGCGCTAAGTAAGATTTCTATAAGTAAAATTCCTTCAAATTCAGGTTTGGTAGAATTTAGATGCAAATGTAACTGAATGGGAACAAACTTGTGAGATAGATGCTGGTGAAAAAGGAATGTGGTTTATTCCAGTGCCAGTAACCTGAGGAGATGGGGGACTCTTGTCATAAAGCCCATCTCAACATCTCAGGGCAGGCAGAGTTTTTCATAAGGAAGGTAAGGGAAAGCAGAACAAAGAGAACAAGAAGAGGTGGTTAAAAGTTCTCTATGTGCAGACTAGCACAGTCCATTCTGATAAGGATTAAAAACTGTTCAAGTGATGGTCTGGTATGTATCATCCTGGTCTTGTCCTCTGCTTCTATGTTATCCTGGTTTTACATTTGAAGGTCAGCAAATCTCCCAGAACTTGGACAACTGAAGGTTGGAGCCTGCATCTTCTGAAGTTAGTTCCTAGGATTTTATAAAAACACTAGAGGCCTGATGCACGAAATTTGTGCAAGGGGCTCAGCCCTCACAGCTGCGGCAGCTTGTCTTGGCCCTTGCAACCCCACTTCATCTGGAAGGTTGTCCAGAAGGTCATTTGGCTGTCCAGTCTAATTAGCATATCACACTTTTATTATTATGGATGCTGCTTATCTACAAGCTACATATGAGTGAAAGTCAGCATTTGCAGAAAGAATGTCAAAAGAATGGTGGGTTGGGTTATAATTTCTCACTATTACATTTTGGACTTCATCTTGCCAATTATGGGAGACAATTGAAAAGAATGCTAGGATGGGTGGGGCTGGAAGTAGGGACGGAAAAAGGTGTGATCAAGCTTGTATTTTAAATGTCTTACATTTGTGTTATTATGAAAAATGATACAGGCAAGAGTGGAGGCAGGCAGCATAGGAATGAAGATATCACTTCAATATACGTAGATCTTAGTAACCCAAAATGTGGTCCTGGACCAACAGCAGCATCTGTATCACACAGGAACTTGTTAGAAATGCAGAATCTTGGGTCACATGAGACCCTATTGAGTCCAATTCTGCATATGAATTAAGTTCACCTAGTGTTTCAAATTCATATAATGTTTGAGATGCATTTCTAGTGGTAGCAGAGTTAAGAAGAATGGGAAAACTTGGGAGGTATTTCACTGGAACAATTGACTAGACTTTGTAAATTAATGGATGAGAGAGGAGATAGCTAGGCAGATGTGGTGCCTCTAAGTGAAGAAAAGGGTTATGGACAGAGTTGGTAATGATTTCTTGGGCCTGTACTTTAAAAAATTGATTTGTAATCTACTCATAGAAGTAATAAAGTTTTTATATACCTAATTTTTGCTCTGAAAATGATAGCCAGGATAATTCTTAGAATTATAACATAGGAAATAATCATGGAATCAAAAGGTTCAATAGGGTAGTACTTTTTAGATTACACCCTACCTCAAAACTTCTCTCTTTATGGCAACAGATCAGAGACTGAAATAATACTTTGTCTTAGTTCAGTTTAGCATAAGATCACAGAGGGAGAATGGAAAGGAGATTAGACTGGGGAGGGAAGAAGGAGAGAGAGAGAGAGAGAGACCCAGAGTTTTCCCAGTCACAGTTCCAGCCACCATTTGGTAGAACATGTTGGAGAAAAGTAAACTTCCTTGTACATAAAGTTGAGAAAAGTGAACTTCCTTACACATAAAATTTACAAAAATTCTAAACCGAAGTAAATTTTCCTTGAAATTGTAAGGGAATTGAAAAGACATCTAAGGATTTTGAATACCTATTATGTGCCAGTCACTGCCTATTACTGTATTTGATCTCATTTTTTTCTCTTAATCCTGTAAGGTAAGTATTTCCCTCTCTCTTTTACAGTTGAGGAGATGAGGATCCTGGATGTGAAGGTATTTGCCCAAGGCAGATCAACCTAACTGGAACTTCAACCCAGGGTTTCACCCAGGCTGTCCAGGCTTTTCCTACTGTGTCATACTGCCTTTGAAAACAGACCATTCTTTGCAATTGTCAAAAATCCTTACAAGGAACTGACATTCCAGCACAGATGAAGTTAGACATAAATACCATGCACCAAAGTACAAATTCAGCCCAAGAAAAGAAGAGAACAGAGACCAACAAGGTCAGAAACATTCTCCTTGGCCACAGAGCTAAGAATTCATCAGTTCCTAGAGAACAAAGATTAGAAAAGCTAATACTAGACCCATACTGCATATTATTTGTGTTTATATTCATATATATGTTATTGTATTTTGTTAGTTATATGTCCACATGTTGATATTCAGTCTTTTCATTCACTTATTGTCAACATTTCCTTTTGTTGTCTTTTTTTTAATGTAATGCAAAGCCTTTAATTAAACTAGATGAATACAGTTGACAATTATAGCCAGAAATTTGGAACCAGACAAAAAGCAGAACAATGTCTTATTAAGGCTAATGCTTGTCTATGCTTACAAGTTTCGTCAAATTTTGAGCACATTTTATAGGGCAAGGCATTGGGGAGATTTAAAAACATCAACAATAACCTATGAGTTCTGGCATCAAGAACCTTGCAATATAGAATAAGAGATACAACATGTTTAGTAACAAAAACAGTGAAAGAATATGTTAAGTACCCTATGGGGGCCAGAGATCAAATCATCTAGAAAAGTGAAAGTTTCCATTATAGCTGGGTAGAAAGTTATCCCAAGACTTAGCATTGTTAACTATCCATTTATGTTTCTGTGTTTTAAGGTTAGGATAGGGCACAATAGGGACAGTTTGCCTCTGCTTCATGACGTTTGGGGCCTCAGCTGGATGACTTGAAGCATGGGGACTGTAATCATTTCAAGGTTTACTTGTTTGCATGTCTGGCAGTTAATGCTGCTTAGATGATAAAAGCTGGTGGGTTGAAACAGCTGGGGCTCCTTGGGCATCTCACTGTCTTTTTGTGGTCTCTGCCTGGCCTCTCCATCTTTGCCTGTGTGTTGAGAGAGCAGCAGGTAGAAGCTGTATGGCCTTTTCTAATCCAGCTTTACTTAAAAGTCACTGTTGCCATGTTTTGTGTGTTCAGATTAATTTTATACGGCTAATCCCTGTTTAAAGGGGAGAGATTTAGGTTCCATATGTTGTGGGAGTAGTGTGAAGGAATTTGTAGGCACGTTTTAAAACCACCACACTGGGGGATCAGGGACAGCTTCATAGATGTACTACCATTTGAGCTAGGTATTGAAATATTACTGTAATTAGAATAAGCAGAGGTAAGATAAATGAAAGGGCACACAAGGATCTCTGTTATCAGCAGGTTACAGTATAAGAGCAGAATAGACTGGCATTGGGAATATAGGAAGTGAAGCTGAAAACACAAATAGGGATCAAGGTGAGGCAGGACTTAAATGCCAAGCCAAGGAGCATGGACTTGATGTAGCCATGAGGGGAAAGCTATTACAGTTGTGGTTTTCTACTGTGGTTGCCACTGGAATCATCTGGGGAGCCTTAGAAAACCAATGCCTGGGTCCCACCCCCAAAGATGCTAATTTAGTTGTTCCGGAATGTATCCTGAACATCTGGGCTTTTCAAAGCTTCCCAGGTGATGCTAATGTCAGCCAAGGTGCACTAAGAGTCTGAGTGGTTGAACATTGACCTATGAATCAGGAGGTCACGGTCCAGTAGGGGATGTGCAGGAGGCAGCCGATCAATGATTCTCTCTCATCATTGATGTTTCTCTCTCCCTCTCTAAAATCAATAAAAAATATATATTTTTAAAAAGAGTCTGATGATAGAAGTCATGTTATCAGGGATCAGTTTTCCTTCTCTGCAGAGTGAGTAAACAGTTCACAACAGATCTGTTTCCTTTTGTTTATATTTTATAAAGCCAGAACCCTGAAGACCCTTATGCCTGTTTGAATGGGGTGCCATGGGGATCAGTAATCCTGAAATCATGAAAATGTGTTTACCCGTTTGATATTATAGTTTTAATAAAGTCTAAGAAAAAACCTACTGCTGTGTTGCCTCTCTCCAGAAGGCAGGACTTCTGAGCAGCAGCCCCTCAGTTACCAGGGATCCTGACAAATCTGCCTTAGCCTGAAAAGGAAGTTCTTCTTCAGAAATCTTTCTGGCATCCCTTGTATCTGGTCAGGCCAGGGAAATGGCAAGGGTTGACAGGTTTTAGAATTTGTAATCTCCTCAGGCATTTTTTAAAGGCCATCAGGATCTCTACCTTTCCCTACCTACCTTTTCATTTAGCCTGCATTCTAAGATACCTCTTGTCATAAAATGAGTATATTTCTAACAGAGTGTTCATTAGGAATTTGATAAATGGAAACTGTAGATATTGACTTCTAGAACCATCAGTGTCATCCCAATATTCTGTATCATAAGGATATCAAGGAATTATTTCATACCCTATATATGCGTATCAATTTGTGCTTAATATACTTTCAACTATGTTATCATATTTATTATTCAACAATTTCTCATGGGAGGGCTTATTATCCCCATTTCATAGATGAGTAAAATGAGATAGAAATTGTGAATTGTACAATAAAACTTTCATATACATTTTCAACACATGTACCTTGTAAAGTAATGAGATATGTAAATTCACTGTGTGCTTTGCAAATCCTTTTTATTTGACTTATCTCTGAAATTTCAAAAGACACCTCATATTTATTATATACTGAATTTTCTGGAAGGGAGATGTTCATTTATTTTGTTGTTTTTATTCTTATTTTTTATAGCCTCCAATTTTCAGGCCAACCTGTTCAAATCTGAAATTATACCTTTGCTTGTACTATCTCATTATTCTAACTTACCATATTGGGTATCCTTTATTTTACAGAACATTTTGAACCTGCCATGTGTCAGGAACTTTGGGATACATGATCAGTAAGATTGCAAGGCTTCTCCAAATTGACGCTCTCTTTCTGAAGGTACAGTGGCAAGAAGTGCATGAAGCAGTTCAGGTGAGGCTATAACATTTTTTTTGTATAAGGAGTTGATAAGGTTTTATGTTCACTATTTATCCTTACTCTACTCATTTCTTGGCCTTCTTGGTTATCAAGTAGTATAGTTTCAAAAAAATACCTTTCAATGCATGTTAGACAATTTTCTTATAAGGAATTACCTTCTTATAAATCATAATTTATAAATCTTACAAGTTTAATTTTTATTCGCTCCTTAATGAATGTTCTTACATTTTCTCATATTAAAACTACTAGTGACCCAGTGCATGGATTCGTGCACATTGAAAGGAAATTAATTAGAAGAAAATTTTTTAAAATATATTTTATTGATTTTTTACAGAGAGGAAGGGAGAGAGATAGAGAGTTAGAAACATCGATGAGAGAGAAACATCGATCAGCTGCCTCCTGCACATCTCCTACTGGGGATGTGCCCACAACCCAGGTACATGCCCTTGACCAGAATCGAACCTGGGACCTTTCAGTCCGCAGGCCGACACTCTATCCACTGAGCCAAACCGGTTTCGGTGAAGAAATATTTTAATATCGCTATTAGTCCTTTCTCTATAATAGAAGTGTCAACCAAATTCATGATCGATAATGACAGATGGAAACACACGCATGTGATTGGTGCCAGTGAGAGCTTTATATATATAGATAAACCCGCTTACTTAGACCTGCTTTCTGATTTAGCTAAACTTTTCCCAGCCCAGTGAAGCATTCCAACTTCTCTTTCAGGTAACTGTCAGCAACACAGCAGTAAATATCAACATGAAACAGATTATTATTGCAGATCATGCAGGGAGAACAAAGGGTAAAATATTTAATTGCAGCAGTGTTTGACTATATTCTGTGCAGTGAGAAAACCTGAAGTCGTTTTCAAGGTCCACCATTTCTTACTTCTTTTCAGTTGGGTGAGGTTTCTAAGCTTTCTAAATCTCTGTTTTCTGGCTAATGAAAAGAAAATAGGATTTCACTGAGTCTCCTATCTACCTACTCCAGGACTTCTGTGAGGATCAAATGAGATGAGGCATGGGAAAACACTTCACAGACATTTGGTTACAGTGTAAAATGTTTGTACCTGGCTATAAAGCAAGTTGTGTTCCTGGGCTGAAGAAACTCCAAGGAGGCTAGTCGCTAGGGAGAGGAAGCCAGGCGTTGCTACGTGACATCATTACCTGGCGCCCACAGTGACTGTTTCCGGGCTGGGCTGTGGGCCACATTTCGCACCATGGAGTCTCGGCAGCATCGGCTGCAATTTGGTGGGGTGACACTCTGGGGTGGTGGCAGGGCCTGTGTCCTACTTGGTGGAGGCCAAGTGTTGCTTTGTGGGCGCCAGGTCCGCAGTGCCATTTCTCTGTAAATGGCAGTGCGTGTCATGGCAGCTTCTTCATCAAGTGTCTGCCCCCTGGTGATCAGTGCGTGTCATAGCGACTGGTCAGATGTTTGGACACTTAGCATATTAGCCTTTTATATATATAGATTTTGTCATTTTACCCATTGAAATAGCCTCATTATATCTTGTTGGATTTATCTCCATTGGCACAGAATTCAGTTATCTACAACATGGCTGTTATTTTCAGGCTTACAATGGCACTCTGCTCTCACTTTCTTAGCACTACCATTTGTAAAAGATTTAATAAGAATGATTTTGGCATTCATATTATTTCTCTGTCAGTTTTGTTTAATGGACATTGAGATTTTCTGTGAAGGAAAAAATATTTTTCGGAGTGATAGACATTCAGAAAGAATTTTTTTAAATCTATTCTTATTGTTTCAGAGAGGGAGGAGAGAGAGAGAGATAGACATATCAACAATGAGAGAAAATCATTGATTCGCTGTCTCCTTCATGCCACACACTGGGGATCAAACCTGCAACATGGGCATGTGCCCTGACCGGGAATTAAACTGTGACTTCCTGGTTCATAGGTTGATGCTCAACCACTGAGCAACACTGGCCAGGCAAGAAAGACATTTTTTAAGGGTTAAGTTAAACTGGACAGTAGAATCAGGTTGCAGGAGTTACCTATAAAGTAAGAATAACCATTTCAATATGCATTGACGAACTGATTTTCAGGATAAATATCTTTATATGCTCTATGATTGCATTTTTCATGCTAGAACATTCCTACATTCTACTGGTCAGAGCTCCTCATAGCAATAATTATAGAATCAGTTGATAAGAAAACCAGGAACCTTAAATAAATTATCAAAAAAAAGTATAGTAGAATCTTTGATAGTCAAGGAAGTATTTTTCTGATACCCAAAAGTATAACTGATTTCACAAGTTGATTTAAAAACACAGAAGGTGCCATCATACCTCTCACTTTAATCACAAATCCCTAAGACACATTAAGGGAACGCAGACCCACAGAGTCCCACTTCTCTAAGATCCCAGTCTTGATGCTGGCCCCAATATCATGGCTTGTTCACTCCTTCAGGCTCCCATACTCTCTGAATTTCTATCATAGCAGGCTCTGAGGTCATTTAGTCCATATTACACTGACCCTACCCATTGACTTCCTTCAAGTTTCCATGGCCAATCTTCATCCATCAGTCTGGTATAGAGGTAGTCAAGAGACCAGATTCTGACTTCCAGTCCTGAGTTCTAGTCTTGATTTTGCCAATAATTTATTCTCTAATGAATATACCACTGTCTCTTCATTGTAAAGTTAGAGTATTTTACAAAATAATCTCTATATGTCCTCTTAGCTCAAAATATTCTGCTTTTCTGACACGATACAGTGTAGTATAAAGGTAAATCACATTAGCAATACAAATGTATATTTTACCAGTTTTCCTCTCAGCTCTTTTGCTTTCTCAGAGCAATTTTCAAGAGCAATTTTAATGTAGTCCCAATGGCTAAATTAAGTTTCTCTTCCAATGTTACCCACAGTCATGTGATTGGGTATACTGATGAATGACAAAATAGTTGCAGAGGAGAAAGGTAAAGTGTAACATGCAAGAGTATTGATCTATTATGTTAATTATGCTGATGTGAGAGATAATGCTCTGGATGAGGAAATATGGAATTTTTGGGTGAATCTAAATTCATATTAAATTTAAAAACTATATATGCCATGAAATTGGGGAATTGCCCTGGATGAAGGGTGATGACACCCTGATCCAGCTAAACTAGCCAGCTCATTCTCCAATTGTGCCATAAGCATTTCTCTTTGAGCACTGAAATTGTTCTCTTTTTCCCCCCTTAAACTTATTTAAAGTACTGCTTCATCCTCAAGACCTTGATTGAGTTCTAACTTTTAAATTTTTGTAGGAAGATTTTTCCAGCTGCCCAAACCTAGAATAGCCTCTTGCTCTTTTGAATTGCTAGAGCACAGTTATCTGCTCCATTTAGATTGCACTGACCTTATGTTGCCATTTGTTTTTATTTATCTCTTGATGAATATTTTCTGTCTTTCCAACTAGATGTTAAGCTTCTTGTGAAAGACCACGTCATGGCCCTCTATCTGTCCTCAGCATCTGGCTCAATGCCCAGCACACAATCATCCCCCAATAAAAAGCTTATTAGTGGTAATAGCACATAATTCCATGAGAATCACTTAAATATTATTGACTGCATATTACTGGAGAAATTACTGTCTGACTCTCATTGGCAAGAACACCATATCTTCATTCATAAGGAAAGGAGCCTTGTAGCCCTGAATGCCAGCTAAGGATGACCTGAAGCCGAGTCAATCAAACATTTGTTGTAGACATGAAAAGTGTTTAGTAACTGTCACAGTGTTGTCTTAATCCTTTCAGTCTGCTATAACAAAATAACCACAGACTGGGTAGTTTATAAATAACACAAATTTATTCCTCACAGTTCTGGAGGCTGGAACTCCAAAATCACAGAGTGCGAGCGTGGTCTGGTGAGGGTTCTCTTCCAAGCTGCATCCTGCCAATCTTTCGCTGTGTCCTCACATGGCTAAAGGTCTGGGGATCTCTGTGAGGTCTCTTCTATAAGTCACCAATCCCGTTCATGAGGGCTCCACCCTTACAATCTAGTCTCCTCCCAAAGGTCTCACCTCCTAATATCATCAACTTTGGGAGTTAGAATTTCAACATACGAATGGGTGGATGGGTCACAAATATTCAGGCCATAGTAATAGTTATACTAGTAAACTAGTAGACGGCACTGAACTTTTATGTGGTTTTTAATCCTGTAGGCATTAAATGCCATCAAGAGTCCTAACTGCATCAGTCACTATAGTAGTAAAAGGGAAATATAAACTACTAATATCTTACACTTGTAGAATATTTTACATATATTTGCTTATTTAATATTTACAATAGCCCTTTGATATAGGTAGTAACATTATTCTTATTTTATAGAAATAATATTTCTCATATTAAAGATGCAAAAACAGGACACAGAAAGGTCATGTAATTTTTTCAACATAGCATAGCTATTGAGAAAGAGAGAGAGAGAGAGAGAGAGAGAGAGAGAGAGAGAGCTGGGATCTGAACCTAAATGGCCTGACTCCATTGTCTAAAATTAACCTGCCATAAAATAAGTTGGTTTCTTTTATTCTATGACTGGTTAGATATAAAACAGTAAAGATGATTTTAATTAAAGGAATTTGAGCATTAGGTAGCTTTTTCAAATGGGAATGAAGACCATATGAGAGCCGAAAAGAACCCTGTGAGAAAATGCATTGCACTAGCTCAAGGTCAGCCTGTGATCCTCAGCTCCTGCCCTGTCTTTCAGTTCTTTTCCATTAGTGTGAAAGCAGAAACAGGAGCCCTGGCCTAGGAGAAGAGGGCCTTTCATCTTCCCAGGCAGGGGGACCTTTGGGAAGACAGGCTGATGAGAGCTGCGGGGGAGCTGAGCCATTTTAAAAACACATGAAAGTAAGAGCTTAAGAGAGAATTTTTATGAGGATGGCAAAGTCGAGGGTGTATGCTTATGCACGCATGCAGGAAACGTGGGTTAAAACTGATCAGTGATTAAAATTCCTTAGACATTTAAAATGCAAATGATTTTTAAAATGTCATATTTTTGACAAGCAAACATTCTTATATATTATAACTACAACGTGGTACTTTCTTCTAGAGAATATTTGAAGTTGCCTGAAATTCACTAGTTCTCTAGGACATATTTTTAGGTAAAAATATTGCCTGCTGGGGCTAGGGGAAAAATTCCATTGATTCCTCATCCCTACCTTTTTATCCTTAAGAAAGTGGTGGGGCAATGAAGCTTTTCCTTTTTTACCCTTTTCGCAGATCATGGCACATACCTTCAGCGTATTTTGGGAAGAAAATGT